GGCGACAGAGCGAGACTCCATCTCAAAAAAAAAAAAAAAAAAAAAAAAAGAAACAGCCAAGGAAGAGGAGGGAGTAAAGGGAGTTACCATTACTCCAACCCCAGGGTGGATGTTCAAAACTCCTGGCAAGTGGCTGTATATATAAACATCTGCTGCCTCAAAAGACACCAAAGACCTGGCACGGTGGCTCATGCCTGTAATCCCAGCACTTTGGGAGGCTGAGGTGGGCGGATTGCTTGAGCTCAGGAGTTCAAGACCAGCATGGGCAACCTGGTGAAATCCTGTCTGTACTAAAAATACAAAAAATTAGGGCGTGGTGGTACATGCCTATAATCCCAGCTACTAGGGAGACTGAGGCACGAGAATGGCTTGAACCGGGGAGGCGGAGGTTGCAGTGAGCCAGTGAGCTGGGATCGCACCACTGCACTCCAGTCTGGGAGACAGAGCCAGACTGTCTCAAAAAACAAAAACGAAAAGAAAAACAAAAACAAACAAACAAAAAAACACACCAGACAATGCTACCATTCTAGTCTCAGATCATATCCACATATGGCTTTTCTGATCAAGTAATTTTGAGGACTCTTATTTTGGTAGGGAGACCTAGAAAGTCCCCAGAGAGGAGGGACCCCAACCAAACCACCCAGGATGAAAGCAGCATTCAGTGATTCTCCATGATTGTTCTCCTCTGGCCCCTGCCCCCAGACACACAGAGAGAAGGAGAACAAAGGTGCCCGCCAGGGGACAGAGGTGCTACCTGCCATGCCTCGGCCTCCAGGAGAGACTGCAGCTGTCCCAAGCGCTCACACATTATTTATGCTCACAGCCAGCTCTGATGACATATGTAAGTTGACAGCGAACATCCTATCAACTTGCTGGAGTGTATCTTGATTGTTAAAACACTCTTAAAGGTGTACAATCATTTATCAAATTAAAATAGCCGTGCCTTGCCAGTTCTTTTTCTACCTTCCTGGATGGAACCCCCAATAGTCTCCATCCTCCTCTAACCTCCTGGGTAATCTGCCCTTGCACCCAGGCCCTGCTCCTCAGGAGACAATGTCCCTGCTGCCAGGAGCCCCAGCCTCAGCACCCCCTCCCCACTCCGGCCCAGGCCAGGGCAAGCCCACTAATCGCCAAGAAGTGACAAACGCCAGAAGCCTCACCAATTAAATTTAAACTCATGCAAAGCTCAGTGGCTAGTAAATTATTATTTTTATTAGCTTGAACCAAGTTCCCGTAAGAGAGAAAGTCAACTTGCTCCCATGAATGGCTCTGTGTATAATTTATTTAACTCTGTGCTCTTTGCCAAAGCCTGGAATATTTTTAGCTCGTTCTGTTGTTGGATTTGGCTTTTTTATGTGTGTTTCTGAGGGGTATTTTTAGCCTCATCCATGTTATTCTAACAGCCTCCTATGCATTTTGTCCTGTCTGTGGGGGCTGTTGAACCCTGTCTCACAGGGAGATGAGGGAAGATTTCTAAGAATAACCGGGGAGCGTTTGGGGGGACGCGCGTTTTCCAGGGGAGATGCGCTATTTGCACAACGCCGTTCTCTGCCTGGCTCACTAATTTCCCTTATTACTCACGTGACCTGGATATTCCTACAGAAAGCGCGGCAGCTCCGTACAGGGATAATCAGACGTGGTGGCAGCACGAGCCCCACTGGGGGAAACCCACATTCCAAACAGGGCTTTGGCGGGGCGGGCATGGCGGGCCACCGCTGCGGGTCCACGGGCCTCACATTCCCGGATTCCCGTAGCTCCTTTGGGCTCGGGGCAACTTTGATGTCTACCTCTGTCACTTATGGAGCAGGACGGGTGATGTCTTCGGAAAGTAACTCTTTTCACACCTACTTAATGTTGGTAACCGTTGCAGAAACACTCCATCGTGTCATGGAGTTAATGAGGTATTTAAGAAAATGTATTTTTTTTCTTTACGAAAAAATATCACATGATGAGGCAGGGGAGCCTGTGATGGGGTCTTTCCACACTAGGAAATTATCTTTTTTTTTCCTCTACCGAGTTGGGGGTATTTTTTGGTTTTGTTTTTTGGTGTTTTTTTTTTCTTTTTTTTTTTTTCTTTTTGAGATTGGCAGTAGGAAGCACTTTTGTAGCAGGAAAGAAGTAGTTTGCAGTTCTCCCACCAGAAGGAGCCTCGCCTTTCTCCCACAACCACCCCAGGCTCAAAGCACCTGGTTTCCCAGGCCCCAGCAATTTACACCCCAAAGAAGACAAGAGAAAGGGTGGGAGGGGAATCTGAGCAGATTACTGAAACCAAGATGAGAAATAGCGCCTTGGTGGAGGCGGAGCCCTGGCCCCTGGAGAGGGGAGGCCTACAGGACAGACAGGAGCTGGCCCGGTCAGAAGCCAGGAGGACGGTGGGCTGTCTATGTGGGCCTCTCCCCAGGCCGGGGCTGCCTCCAGATCACACACACACTCCCAGCAGAGGCGCCAGCCCCAGTGGCTCCAGGCAGTAGCACTGATGAAAAATCTTGGGTTGGTTCTTGTTGATTTCTCTTTTTTCCCCCCTAGATTTCACAGCTTTGCCTCCAGACCATCTGTATTAGAGACAAAATCTAACACTGAACTAAAAATAATGATTCCAAACATTTTAATTGCACCTTTTGGTGACAAGGTTACTGGAACAGCACTTTACCATAAAACCCTACAGCCCGAGTCTACAGCTCCCAGCACTTTCATTTTTAGAAAAACAATGGAAGAAGCCGGACAGCCCCATATCCCAGCCATCAGGGCCCCTCAGGCTGACATTTTGAAAGTGCTGGGTGGGGTTGGGGAAGGGCAGCCCAGGCAGCCAGCGGGGACAGCCTCAGTCCAGCTGGGGTGGCAGTGCCAGGCCAGACAGGCACAGGAAGAGCAGCCCAGCAAAAAGAGGCAGCCTCGCAGAGGCCAGGGCCTCCATCCCCAATGGCTGGATCCTACTCCCAGACAGGCAGGAAGAATCCAGGTCAATTTTCCTTTCCGAGGGGCAGTCAGCAGAGGGAGGGGCGGACCGGCTGCAGCTGTGGCCTGCGGACTGAGGCCATCCAGGAAAATGGGAAGCAAGGCGGCCAAACCGGCCATTTGGAAGTCTGCACACGAGATGCAAAAAAATTGTTTAACTTAATTATACTTTTTTCTCTCTAAACTAGATCATATATAGACACAGACCAAAACAAATAATAATCTGGGGTATAATTCTTTTTTCAAAAAAATACATGCAGCTAAATTTTAAAAACCAATACAATATTTTGGCTCTTAGCAATTTCAAAAAGCTTTCTTTGAGCTACAGATGCTTCTAGCTGGATGTCTGTGTGGCCAAGTTGCCCATCACAAATGGGTTGAACATCTCCGAGCACAAGCGGTCCCTTCGGTCTGCAGTGGGGAGGAAACAGGGCCTCCAGGGATAGGGGACACATGGCCCTTCAGACCCTGAACGAGGTAGCCCCGAGGGGCCTCCAGCGCCCTCTAGAGCACCCTGCGCTTAGGGAGGCTGGGAGGGCCTGGGATCAAGACGAAGCACAGAGGACACAGGCCAGGCCAGAGCCCAGAGCCATTTCTCACAGCCCTCCGGGGCCTACACACCAAGAACCACGTGGCCAAACTTAGAATGAGCAAGACAAAGGGCTAGGCCACCCGACCCGGCGCCCACCTACCCGGGTGCTGCCTAGACCTGGAAGTAAGGGCAGAAGGGGGAGAATGCGGCTAGCCTGGACCTGGCCAGGATGTGAGCTGGGGCATGGGGTCAGGGAGGCAGCACTGACCTGACCTGATGGGGAATCTGGCCTGGCCTCCCGGAGGGGACAGCTCCAGCCCCAGCCTACCAACATGCAAGCCTCGGTGTCAGGGGCTCCTGTCTCTGTCGTGCTGTTACTTGCCAGGCTGGAGGGCACAGCACAGTGGAGGTGGGGTGCACACGCTCCCCCTACCCCCAGTAGGGGCCACCCTCCTGCAGCCAGAAGAGGGGCTGGTGGGGAGGCTGGTGAGCTGTCCCTTCTGCCAGGGCGGGCCCAGCCTCAGCGCCCCGTGCACCTGAGCCGAGTGGGCAGCAGCTCCCATGCAGGGGCAGGAAGACAAGCTTGATAACCACAGGGACAGCGGAAGAGGTATTTTAAAATCACCCATCGCTCAGGCAAGTGCTTTTTCTCCTTCTCTTTCCAGTTATAAATCTAGAGGAGAAAAAAAAAAGGGAGAAAAAGAAGGAAGGGCAACAGAGAGAAAAGGGCAGCTTCACCAAAGGCCCAGGCAGGGAGGGAAGCGGGTGTGGGCCAACCGGGGAAGCACTGGGGAGACCCCTCCAATGGGCGGCTCCCCGTTCCAATCTCCTGGCGCTGCAAATGCTGGAAGCCCGTTAGCAATTAAGCAATTTCGAGTTTGTTTTTTTTCTAGAAACGTACGTTTTTCTTTGAGTGCCCTCCCTTCTTCCGACGTTTTCCCTTCTAGCCCCGTCTCTGCCATCCGTTTTAATCCACACACTAATTGTAATCCCATTAAAGCAGATATAATTTTATTAGTATTCACAGTTCATCAAGCTACCAATAATAACTGTTACTGCCAATTTTTTTTAAGCGGTAAACATTTCTGATGTTTAGAACAAACTGTAAACAAAAGCCACCCATGTACGAGGGTGACCCGGCGGGTCCCTAGCGCAGCCCTGCGCGCTTCCCCTGAACTCCACGCTAGCTGCCCGGTGACCTCCCAGGCTTCAGGTGTGGTAGCTGCCTCTTCCCTGACCTCCCTCGACACTCATATCAAAGACACCAGGAAGAGAGCTGCCCTGGAGGCCTGGGCCCGCTCTGCCAAGAACTGACCCTCTGGGGCAGGGAGTCCGAGGGGACGGCCACCGGGCCTCCCTGCGAGGCCCAGCACCGGCGCCCCGCGCTCTCCTCTTGGAGCAAATCCACCACGCTCTCCTCTTGGAGCAAATCCACCGCACTCTCGCCTGCACCGAAATCCTGAGCGCCGCCCCGCGCCACCCCCAGCCCGAGCCCGCGCTGCCCTCCTCCCCGGGCTGCAGGCTGTGAGGCTGGGCCGCACTCCGGCCACGCTTTGTCCGGCTTTAGCGGGATACCAGAGGCACTCGTTAAAGCAAATGCATCCCTGCAAACCCATTCTCGCCCTGACACTTCAAGGCTTTATATAGAAACAGGATTTGCTCGTCTTACACCGGCAGTCCCTATTAACGCTCGCCCGGCGCACACACCACCCTAATCCGCGAGGCCGCGGCGTACCCTGGTCCCCTCCCCCCGCCACAACAGCCGTTTTGTTCCCGCAGAAAGCGCCTCGTTGTCCCAGCCCCGGAACGTCTTAAGGAGGTGAATGCAGAATGCAGAAAAGGTTTCCGTGGAATTTAGATTTGCAGGAGGGGGCGGGGGAGGGTGGCGAGGCGCGGAAAGGCTTTAATTTCAGCCGGCTCCGGGGCTGCCCCTCCGAGACCCCCGGGGGAGGGTGGCCAGAGAAGGGCCGCTCTAAATCGCGGCGATGCAGTGTTGGGGGCTGGCGGGACGCGCGGCCCCGCTCAGCACCCAGGCGGCCACCGCGGCCGGGGCCGGGAAATGAAACCAAAGCTTCTCTGCTCCCGGGAGCGGAGCGGTGGGCACCCTGTTCCGCTCTCGAACGCTCCCGTCCCGCGCCCGCCCCGGCCGGGCACTGACCTGTGTGCGAAGCCATGGGCAGCGGCGACGGGAAGTACTTTCCCGGCTGGAAGTGCGCGGGGGGCTGCGCGGCGGGCCCGGCCGGGGCGAGGCGCGCGGCGGCGGCGGCACTGCGGTGGCCCAGGCTCCCGCGCTCCGACAGCAGATGCGGCGGCGGCGCAAAGTCGCGGCCATCCATGCCGGGCCCCGGCCCCGGTCCGCCGCCGCTTCCTCGGAGCAGCGCGGCCGGGGCCCGGGGGCGGCTCGGCGCAGAGGCGGCGGCGTCCGGGATCACAGGCGGTGGTGGCGGCGGGGCCGGTCAGCACACGGGAGGACTGGGCTTCTCGGCGGGTGGCCGCGCACCGAGCCGGCGGCCGCTGTGCGGGTTCATGGTCTGTGGAGGCAAAAGCAGAGGAGACACGGGTGACTGGGGGGCTCGGCTCGCCCTGGGGTCCCCGCCCCGCCCGCTCGCCCACTCCCCCCCCACCCCCCACCCCCGCCGGCTCGAGCGAGCGGCGGCCAGGCCGGGTGGCGGGGCCGGGGCGCTCGGTGTCTCCCCGCGGCACGCGCGCGCAGCCCAGCACCTGGGACCCCGCGCGCGCACGCACCGTCCCGGCCACGCTTGGCCCGGGGCAGCTGGGGGAGCCCAGCCGCGCTGCTAGCCGCCTCCCGTTCTCGTTCCCGCGGGTCCCTGCAGCGAGGGCACCGCGGCGAAGAGGCTGCTGGCTCTGCTGGGTGATAAAAACCCAAATCTGCGAAGCCATCACGCACACTCGCGCACACACACACACACTCACACGCACACCCTCTCCCCTCCCCCGCTGCCCAAAGGTGTCTCGGAGGAAAAGGCCTGGGGTCCACGCTCGCTCACTCTCTCTCCCCACCTCATGCCGAGATCCAGCTTTTACTGCATTCCGCTTAACGGAATAACCATGCTAATTAAGCGAGTAATTTTATTGATTGTAACTCAAGAGTTTTTTTTTTTTTTTTTTTTTTAATAACCTTCCTTTTCCCCCACTCCCATCCCCCCATGCATCTTTCGGCCCATTCTTCTGAATCCGCTGTCGTCCTCCCTCCCCAGCCCCAGCGGGACCAGCTCCTGTCCCCAGAATCGCTCCAGGACCCCAGGCCGGCTCCTCAGAGCCCCGGGCGCCCCGCAACCGCCACCGGCATCACCTGGGCCGCCACGCCGCAGTGCCCGGCCTGCTGTCCCGGAGCCGGGAGCTTCCTGTTGAGGCTGTAACAATCACCCCGCCCCCCAATCAAATTCGCCCAGGATCTTCCTCTGCGGATTGGGGGCTTGGGGGTGGGGGGGATGCTTTCAGAGTCAGAATGCTGCTCTCTCAACGGCCCAAATCGGCCCTAGGATTTCTTCCTTCAGCGCCTGCCGGGGACCGCGAGCAGAGGCCGGTCTCGGCATGGCGGGGCGGCCTGGGTACGCGGGGTCTGCGGCGCCCAGTTCGGCCCTCCAGCCGGGGAAGGTGGGCCCGGCCCAGCACAACCTACTGCCAGCAGACCCCGCCCGGACCTCCGGCGGGGCCACCTAAAATGACCCTCACCTCCATTTTCTTTCACCCCCACCCAACGCAGAACATCCACTCAGGCGAAATTGGGGACAATTTCAGACTCTGGGTGCGGAGGATCGGAGCCAGTGATAGAAGCTACGTGCACCACCTTGCTCCCAGGCGTTCCTCCAAAGGCGCTCCCCGGCCGCACTTCACATATTCCTCCTCATCTCCTAAATACGTATTGTTTTTAATGTTTATCGCCTCCAACAAAAGGGAGATGGATAGGCTTGATATTCTTAATTAGGAACTTTGCAGAAAACCTTGTGTTTTTGTAGCCATCCCACCATGACAACAAAGCGATTAAGATGTTTTCCATCTCCTGAATACCTTTTTAAATTGCGATATTTTATGCTCCCGGTTCTAAAACGTGTTATTTGCAGACTATTTTGTGTCTGATTTAATCTATAACCGAAAACATAATGTATTAAGTGAATACATATTTGCTCTGCTGATAAGCTTTTTTAATATTTATTCGGAGAGCTTTTGCATTGTAAATAAATGGGTCTACACAAAGAGTTCTCTTTGTCTGGCAACTACATACAAAGGCGTTTGGGGCTCCCTTCCCTCTGGGGATCGCCAGCTCTCTCCCCCGGTCTAACAAACAGCTCGGCTCCCAAGCTCCGAGCCCGGCCTGCAAAGCGAGTGCCCGGCCGCCAGGGCCCGGAGAGTACTCTGGCGAGGGGGCTGCGAGCGCTGGGGTCAGGGGAGGGGCTGCCCAGGCAGGACCAGGGACGTGGGGGCCCCCAGCACCGGCCGGTGCCTCCCGAGCTCCGGAGGGCGCCGGGCGGGACAAAGGGAAAGAAGGAAAGAGAGGGAGGTCAGAAACCTGCAGCTTCAAAGGCGCCGAGGGCCGGAGAAGGGCTGGGGGCGGCGCACGCGGGGGTGCCAGGCTTCCTGGAGGCCTCCGGAGAGTCGTGTGTGCTGTGCTTTTGTTTTGTGGTTGTTTTTTTTTTTTTTTTTTCCAATGAGAAATTTCAAAGTTGAGAAAGCGTGAGCTGCTGGCGATTCTCGGGACGCGGGCTCGGCCACGAAGCAGCAATTTTAATCTCGCACCCCCTGCGGGCGGATCGCAGGCCCGATTGTTCCTTTCTCACCAGCCGGCTCGACTTTTTAAGCAAACAGGAGGCGGATTACGGTCGCCCGCCTGCGCCGCCACGGCTCTGACCGGATTGGAGGGGGCTTTTCTTTGTGTTCTCTCCTCCCGGGGAGAGGCCGCGCCGCGCCTCCGCGTCTGCCAGCGCCGGGCTTCGGGGGCCTGGGGAGCCCGAGGCCAGGAAGCGGGGCGAGGAAGGGCGGCCACAAGGCCCGGGCTGGGAGCCCCACAGTCCCGCAGCCGCGACGCCGCCACCCGCCGAGTGCCGAGGCCCGGGGCCCACCCCCAGCCCAGCTCCAGGAGAGGCCGCGCAGGAGGACCGCGAGGACGGCGCCGCAGCGCCAGGTCAGGCTGAGCTAAGGGAGGAAACGGAGCGAAAAGTGATGGCGGGCAGAGGACCCCGGGCGGGCGGAGAATCGCTGACGAGGGCATTTCGGGAAGAGCTGAACCTCGGAGCACAGGGCTCCTTCCCGGGAAGGCAGGGCGTGACCCCGGAGCCGCGGGTCCCTCTTCCCGCGGCCGCAGGCGTGGCTGGCGCGCTCCAGGATCTGGGGCTTCTACAGGTTTGCTTTGTTTTCTGCTTTTGCATCTAAAAACCCGCTCTCTCCTCGCCCGCCTGTCGGAGACCCGGACTCCGACCCGTCTGCCTCCCTCCGGCGCCGTCTCCGGGAGCGCGGGCGCGGTGGGGCCTGCAGGCCGGGCTGGGACCTGGCGCGCCCGGGGGCGCTAGTGGCTCGGCCGCCGCCGCAGAACCCGCTCCCTGCGAAACAGCCGCACCCGCTCCCGAGGAGAGTCATGAGAACTAGGGTCGCGCCTGACCCGCGCGCCTGAGGAAAACCAGCCCGCGGGCCCCGCCACACGGGCCGTGACCCGAGCCCCGCGCGCTGTCCCGAACGCACGGTGATAACGCCCCGCTGCGCCAGCCTCGCTCGGCCCCCCTCCTCCACCCCTTCTCCGAAAAAAAAATTCTGAAATGGGAACGAAGACCGAAAAACTCGCCATGACCGTTTCCCTCCCCGGCCCCTAGCTTCGGCCCGGAAGGCCCTTCAGGGCAGCGGCCGTGGGTACCACGAGCCGGCCGGTTCCCCTAGCCGCGGACCGACCGGGCGGGGCCAACTCAGGACTGCTCCGGGGAGGGGAGCAGGGTAGGGGAGCGAATAGTAGGGGTTCGTTCGTGGGTCACCCAAAGCTGGGAGCACGCTGGCGGCGCCCGGACTTCGCCGACTGTCCGCCCGGTGCCACCCGCGCGGCTCGCGCCAGACGCAGCCTGGCGGTCCCTGTCCTGTCTCGAGTATTTATTTTTAATGCTGGGTGTCGATCGAGACAACAAGCGTTCAGAGCAAAGCAAGGACGCATTACGGGGGGAATTTTAAACCGATCGATAAGATTTTTCAGAGAAAAAAATCGCTTATATAGTCCATATTTTTTAAGAAAAAAAAGCTTCGACATTTTAACGGATTTTGTTAAAAGGGAAGGTATATATTTCTTAACATCACAACCCTGAATTACTTTTGCTAAAAAAAAAAAAAATGTAAAACCCCAAAGCCAGAATAAAAAATAATAATAAAAATACAAAAACAAAAAAAAATGAAAGCAATTTCAGTTACTTACTGGAGGCTGTTTCCTGGATACAACTGAATGCAATACAATTAAATCAGTAAATGTGACTTTGTTTTGTATTCCTATTGGTATTTTCAATGTGCTGACTGTTGCACTGTAAATGCACCGCTTCCACAACAACGACTCTAGCGAGCCCATCCAGAGCGGCTCTCAAACCTGCAGCCTGGCGCCGCGAGCCACGGGCCCTGCATACTAATAAGCTCGTGCCACTCAGCCCGGAGCAGCCAGCGCGCTGATTGGCCGCGCAGCCCTCCGCGGCCGGGAGCTCGTGCCACTCATTTGGCGTAAACAGGCCTCCCAATAGGCTGGCGCCGGGCCAGGGAGCTGCCAATCAGGAAGCAGCGGGGCTACTACCAAGCCCGATGGCGCCTAATTCAAGCCCGGCGACTGCGCAGCTCCTCTGCGCAGATCATTGCTGCTGAATGGGAATGTGGTGGCGCAGGGCAGGAGAGGGAGCTGGAACCAGCGAGTGCGCGTGTCCCGGCGGAGGGGGAGGCGTATACACAGACACAGACACACACACACACATATATGTTTAATCCAGCAGGTCTAACGTTTGGCTTCTGCCGCACAGAAGGCCAAAGGAAGAAATACCACCACCCCTTAAAAGTAGCTACTTTTTCTCCCTGCGATCTGTCTGGCAGGTGGCAGGTAGGCCAGACCTCCAAGCCCAGAGGCCTCCCCAGGTTGCCTGGCCCATCTACCGCTCTGAGGCTGCTGCCTGCCCGGACCCGAGCTCACAGATCCACGTACGTCCGCTGCTTGGGCAGTACAAGCTTTGAATAGCCCGCCCGGCCCTCTCCTCCCCCTGACCTGGGGATCAGACCCTGGGAAGTGAGTTCTGAGTCTCCAGCCGTCTACATTAGTGGCTCTCAATTTTATCTCCCTCTGCCACACTTTGCAACAGAGCAACTACTAAAATGAAAATCAGGGATTTATTGAGAAGACAAGGATTGCCCTTTCTTCATCTACACCTAGATTTAAAAAATATTTTCAGCTCGATAAGGGGGGAAGGGGATATGGTGTGGTAAACCATGTATAGTATTTCTCAATGCTGCTCCCTGTCTGCATATCTGCTAAATCCTCACTCCAACTAAAGCAAGCTACTGAACAATTTTTATCGTAATCAGATGCAAACCACTTCTAAAATATTCTGCAAACAAATATTTCTGTTAGAATTTGGTTTCCCACCCAAATGCTATTTATTCTCAGGGAGTCGAGGTGATGTCTTAGTGGCGATGGATACATTTATTTTTGCTCCTCTTTCTCCCTGTGAATCTCTGCCTCCCCCTCTGGGGGAAAAAAGGATATTTAAACTAGAAGCCAAATGACAGATTCACACGCATTCGAAATTCTCCACCGTCTCATTCCAGCAGGGACACGAAAGAGTTAAACTCAAAGCCTGCTGTCTCTCTGTTTCCCCGCCCCCACTCCCGTTCCCGCGGGACCGCTGGGATTGGTTGGCACTCCGCCAGCGGACTGTCCATCACCGAGTGTAAACAAGGCGCTGATTGGCTGTTGTCCAGTCCGCACTGGGCCTCCTGAAAAAAGCAATTACTGGCTCCGCGGTTTCAAGGCGGCCCAAGGCCGCTTGATGAAAGGAGATAAGCTGGGGACCGTTTCCAGGATCCCCGCGGGCCGACCCGGGCAGCCCGGGAGCCGAGGTGCGGCGGAGAACCCGCGGATCAAAGGAATCTGGAGAGAAAGGGGAAGCGGGCGGCTGGCCCCGGCCGTCCTTCCCCCCCGCGGGCCACGCCGACCTGGGGTGGGGGGCTGCGGGCCGCGGGTGGGGACTCCGGGATTTCCCGCCTGCCTGAGTCGGGGCCTGCGCCGGCGCCGGCTTTGGGCGGCGCGGCCGGGAAGGGAGCTCCGGAGAGCCCGGGGCTCGCAGGTAAGCGCCAGGGCTCCGCGGGCCGGGCCGGGGGCTCAGGACAAGGCGCGGGGCCCGCCCCGGCTGGCTCGGGAGTGGCGGTCGCGCAGGCCCGGGTCCCGGCTCCGGCGTCTCCCGGCTCCGGCGGCCGGGACCCCTAGCGACCGAGCCCCTGGCCAGGCCCCAGGCCGGCGCCTTCGGAAGCGACGTCTGGCGGGCCGCGGGGCCCGAGGGGCAGAGTCGGGAAGCGTAAATCCCCGTTGCGCGCGGAGATGAGATTAGCGCGCGGCTATTCATTAAGGCGGGGACGATTGAATTAGGTCCCTGGGCGCGGTCGCCGGCTGGGGGTGTGCTTGGCGCCGACCCCCGGGCTTTGGCCGTGGCATCGGGAGGCTGGAGTAGCGGCCCCAGTGAGTGTGTTGGGGAATCGGGCGCCTCTGGGTCCCAGCCCCGCGGGTGCAGGCGGAGGCTGCCCGCTTCCCGCGTACACCGAGGACGGCCGGCCCGGCTCCGGAGAAATGGCGCTTGGGAAAGGAGGGGAGGGGAAGGTTCCCGGACCTTGCACAGGGACGGGTCGCCGGGGACCCGCGCAACCCTCCGGGGATGGAGGAGGCGCGAGCTGGAAGCGGCGCGCGGGCCCGGGCCCGGGGCTAACACCGTGGGGCCCAGTCTCTCCTGGCTCGGGTGGGTAGACGCGCCCCGAGGCCCCGGGTCCACGCAGGGCGCCCCTCACAGACGGCGCGTTTCCTACTCTCCTAAGGATCCGAGTTCCCATCACTGCCTCCGATGAGCTTGTTCCGGATCAGGAACCTTTTTCAAGTTAATTTTTAAAGCCTCATTTGAATTTTTTAATATAGGAAAATATGTAGATGAGAAAAACTTTGGCTCCAACAAAGAGAACACCGTGGTTTCCCAGGACTTGCTCTGAGCTC